ATTTGAACAGTCGATAGCAAATACTTAAACTAATAACAAAACAGTAGTTGATTCAGAAGCGCCAGATTGTAGCAAAGTCAGAATTACCTCCTCTCCTAGGTTCACGAAACGGTCGTCCATAAAATGCATTGCCGTTCTGTTATCTGTTACCTTAAAATCTTAAAGATTCCTAAATGCATCTACTTTCGGAAGGCCAAATAAAGTGCTTTTGCTTTCGCCTAGAAACACACAGCATCTCTCTGACATGGCTGCTTCAACACTAACTGCGGTTACTGAAACCACGCCTTCTTTCTTTGCGTGAACATTTGGGCGGCATTATGCTACTATTTCCACATAATGAGGTAGATATGTGGGGGCATGTTAGAACGAGCCGTTTTAGGGGGGCGTGGCAGAGTCTTAACTTTGATAAAGAATATCTCTTTGGTTTTGAGACTTTAGTCTTTGCAACTTCAGGGATCTTATCTATGCACAATCAGCTTGTAACACTCCAAAGAGAAAGGAAAACTTGAAATCGCATCATATGACCCCTTTAGAATAATTCAACGAAATTAAAGCAAAATTATTGAAGCATAATTTCTCTTTCAACCCTTTAACCCAATTTCGCTTCTCTGCTTGCGATCAGATCATTTTAAGCCGCTAAACTCAGGGAAAGTTTTCAGTCCAAGGATCCAGTAAGCGAATGCATTCAATCAATCCGTCCAAAACAGCACTAATGTAAAGAAAACCAGGCTGATTACATCAGAGATGGCATAGAGAATAGAGACTCACATCGCGTTTTCAGTGACTTATTCATTCCATTGTGTTACGCTTTAAAACATGAGCTCTGTCATATTCTGTGATTATTTCTGAAGAGAGCAAGCCCTCACGCATCATGCTTATTTAAATCCAGACTGATAACATCCCACCACTTTATAGCCAGATGAGACATAAGTGCTGTCTCATAGTATTTACATAAGTAAAGAGAAAAATCTAAGCACAGTGTGTGATGTTGTTGAGATCTCTAATCTAAACTTTGGAGGAGACAAATGTGAGAGATCCAGAGTCTCTAGCAAAGGAAAAATATCCGAACTCAGTGTGTGGTGCTGTTGAGATCTATTTTAAAGCAGACCATTGTGAGATTGTTAGAGTTTTTGTCTCAGGAGACAAGTTTAAGAAGCAGGAGACTCAAGCAAAAATCTCCATTCAATCTTAAAGTAACCTCATTTCTGTCTAGGAGAAATATTTGAGATGTTAAAGAGATCTCACTTTTGATTTTTCTTTCCTATGGGTTACTTTTCTGGGTATAGTAAATAATGACAAAATGAACGTGTTAAACAAGATAAATAGTACATTTCATGATAAGTGTGCAATTAAGTGCGATTAATCACACAAAAAGTGTGTGATTAATCATATTAAAATTGTAATCTATTGACAGCACTACTTTAAATATAATGCAGGATTCTCCAGATGATTTTGGAATGATTTTGGAGAAATGCACAAAAAACATTAAAAATGGTTGAAACCTTGCATGTAGAGAAAGCTGTTAGAAGCGAAGATAACTTGTTATCAGGTCGCATGGCCCAGGATAGATAGATAAACAGATAGACTGTTATGAGTGGGTACCAAATGTACAAACTAGGATAAGATCATTAATAAAAGATAAGATGAAAACTTTTAAAGCTAAGAAATGATCAAGATTAAAGCCCAAAAGATTTAAAGATGGTCCATTAAAACCCATGAGGGGTTTGGAAATATGTAATTAGAAATTAATTTGAGGCATCTTTATGAAAGTAAATGAGAACAGGAAAAAATGTGAGTAATAATTTTGGATCCAGGGAATTAACAGATTGCAATTAATAGATCACTTGGAGAAATGAGGTGCAGTCATTTACATTTACATTTACATTCATATACAGTATTATATATATCATATATAATATATATATATAAGATCAATACAGTCTTAATTGATTTGAGTTTTAATATACTTTGTTGATATGATACTCGTTTTGAGATATTCAAATATATTTTTCATTTTGAAGGTGGATACCATAAAATATATGTAGGTTAAAAAAATACTATAGTATTTGTTATATTAGTGCATATAAATGAAAATAATTCAGTACAATTCTTTCTTGTGTTCATTTAGTGAACTTAAGTTCACAGTCTGTAATTTTTTTTGGTTAAAAATGATCCAAAATCAATATTTGAGCAAGTACATAACCAGCCAGTGTTCGACACTATCGCCTTACTTTAGCCTGTTTCACAACGGTTAGCTTATAATAATGTTTTCTAATTTGAGTGGTACGGGTAGGTTTTCGCAGGAAATTCAAGCATGCTGCTGCGTCATTACGTCACGTCTGTAAACATAAAGAAGTTGTCCCGGCTACTAGGCTATCGTAGGGTGACCATACGTGCAGTGTTCGAACTATACCGTGGTCTTTGGGGGAGCCCACTTGTTTTTTTTATATATAACGGGGGTATTTGTGCGCTTGCTCGTGCCTCAAAAGAGGGCTTACAATGACTTAAGCCCCATTCAC